TTAAAACTTAATGGGATAATTCTCAAATTTTTTTATCTTTTTACCTTTCTGCAAAAATCTTCAAAATTTTTTTTTGTTTTTTAAAATATCTTATTATATAAGTACTGTATATATATTCTAATTAGATTCAAAGAACTTGCAAATTATCAGGAAGGTGACGTAATCCAATGGGGGATCCCCTGACGCGACTAGCATGACATATGCACGACATCAATATCACTGTATCTTCAGTTTTAAATTTCAAACCGGAAAATTTTGATAATTGGTATAGGGAAGAAACCTAGTTAGTTGTGCAACAAATGTACACGTAGAAGCCTTTTACGAGGACTTAGCAAATCAAATGAGACAAAGAAGGTTCAAGTTTATTGAACGTCTAATTCAAATTTATAATTCGGTCGCCAAATACAGCGTYGCGGCCAGTTGCTTGACTGTAATAATCGAACTATAAATGGCATATCTTATGGAAGAAGAAGACGTGTTTGGTAAGATATTTATGTTCTTTTTAAAGTACTTAGGATTTAATAGTTTTGATTCTAGCATTGTTTGATTCGAGAAGTGTTCGTATTTATAACTACAGACGTTTCATGCTAGTCTTACTACAGCTTAATATTATATTTCTAAGCTTATATTAATTTATGTTTTTGATCATTGTTTTGCTAAATAACTAATAGCTATCTTCTTAACCTCAAATACCCCTGTCTATAACTACAGAATCGAAATAAATTTCCGTAATATTCTAGCTACAAAATTCTCGTTTTTGAGATTGAAAGATTTAACATAACAATGATAAAATGCTGAGTTGCAGATCTGAATTGTCAACTTATTTTCTTACATTAAGTGTTAATTAATTTATTGATAGATAGATGAATTGAATTCCATTTTTCTTTTTTTTTAATTTGTGTTTGTAATTATTTGGGATTAAATTTAGCTCTAAGCTGAGCTGAGCTGTAATATTTTTTTCCATTTGAGATAATAATTATTAATATTCATTTTGACCATAAAGTTACAGTTCAGTGATTAAAAATTACTTAAGTTCCTAAGTGGTCGTTATTRTGTATTGTCCTAAAACAATTGATATTTTCATCTGGAATGTATTTCCTGTACATATAGCTATACACAGACATACACTATTGCACATATGCCCATATATATCCCTTAAAGGCAGCATGTTAAAAATGCTTATCTTACAAATACATTGCAACTGTGCACMCAGCATATCGAGGGGGTATAGATAATCCTCTAAATAAAAACATTTTGTTTTCTTAAGGCCAAATACAAAGTTGAACATTCTTYGATTGCACGTTACCTCATTGCGGCCATGTTGGTGCCATTTAACAAAAGATTTCTCATTAGCATCCATTGTTAACGGCACCACAATGGCTGCCATGTTTTTGTCTTTTGACTCTCTTGGGAATGCTTGCAACCCATCAATTGACAACCTAAAGGTGCCTTGTTTCATCGTTTTCAAAGTGTTTGGCTTGAGTATTTAGTTATCATATTTTTGTGTACTGTGGTTGTTTTCTATATAGGATGACTTTAGGAAGAAAGCATACAAAATTACAATTATTCATCAGCTATAGAAATTAATTTAAACAGATTAATTTAAACTGATTTTTTTTGGAAATCTGAAATTTAAGAAATTCACAAATTTTATTTACAGAATTTTCACAGATTGCCATTCAGCAACTAATAATTATTGGGAAATGAATGCATTCTGTGCCYGAGATAAAAGATGATATTTACCAAAGAAATAGGGTGAAACCTTCAATATGTTATGAGTTATGAGCTATGAGTGCTTTGATTGGCAGKATAAAATATTTGAGTTATTGTGTCATGCATGCTGATTGGTTGGCCACTGTACTCGTGAATTATATTTACACTTTCACAAAATTGCTCAAAAATATTTTGTAAATCAAGCAATATGAAATACCTGCTTAAGTCTCTGTATTGTGATATAAACATTCTGGAAGCAATATAGCACTCGAAATACATGAGAAACACTTGCCGTGTTTATATCACAGTACAGAGAAATGAACTTGCATTTTATATTGCTTAGTAATAAGTAAGTGCTTCAGGTGTTATTGGCTAATTTTAAATGTGTAGTTCCAAAAATTATCCATACCCCCTCGCRGAGGAATTTTTTTATGACACCCCCCTACCCCCCAGAAATTCCAATTTTTTTCCTTACAAACTCTGTAATTTTTGTTCTTTCTCTGACCCCCCTACTCTTCGGGAATTCCAAATTCCTCTGTGGGGAGGGTATGGACGATTTGTGGAACTACACAATATCAATTAAAATATATACCTGAAACCAAGGTTTTTTATTAATACATGTTTCCTTTCTTTGTTCACTCACAGTTTCACATAATTCAGTACCAGCCAGTGCCCTACAGACTGGATCTTCTGGCAGTCTTCCTGCCGCTATTCATTCTCAGGATTTAGAGTTCCTTACAGTTGCTCGTTCACGCAAACCATTATCCCATAATGATTTGCCCTCAGAACTGCAAGGCATTCTGGATAATACGATCAGGAAATATGGATTATCAAGATCATTGACTGGTACAAGTTATGAATCCGGCTTCTTTTCGGATTCACCTGCTTCAAGTACTTCTTCACTTTATCAGATTAATGAAGGACAAAAGGCTACTTCGGAGGCTGAGTTTGGTTTCCCTGATCAACATGAACTAGGTATGAAATGATGATATTTGAATTACTACACTAATAACATCACGCAATACTACAGCACACCACACCACACCACACCACTCCACTCCACTCCACTCCTCGCCATGCCACGCCACACCACACCACACCACAGTACCACACCACAGTACCACACCACACCACACCACACCACACCACACCACCACACCACAGCACACCACACCATGGTTAGTGCTAGAAGCACAAACAACATGCAATAACTCATTTCCTTATTTTGTCCTTAAAATATTACAGACAACTTTAACCGGAAGAAATTAGAAATTCTTTTTAATGACTTTGCTGAAGAACTCGGAGGATGCTGGAAAGAGTCAGGAAGATACCTCTTGAAAAAAGAGTGCTCTGTTGAAAACATTAATGCTGATTATAGCAAAGTCAGCGAAAAGGCCTACCAAGTTCTGCTAAAATGGAAAAAAGAAAACGGAGCCTATTCTTCTGTTCTTGATCTCTTCAAGTGTTTTAATCACATTGGACGAGAAGATGTAGCAGAGAAGGTGATAGATTATCTGCCAAAACGCATACAAAATGCATGTCGGATGATTCTCCTGTCRTCCCCAAAGAAAATTAGGTGTCCTTCAATGACTACTGCAATCCATAACATCAAGGAAACAATTCAGGATATGTCGGTTGAAAAACAACTGAGGGTTGCTGATGAAGAGGAAGTAAGTTGTAGTGGTAATTGTTGCATGGGAAATGGAATTGAGTGAAATGAAATGGATTCTTTATACCATCAACTTTGATCAGGAAAAACGCTGAACCAAATAAACAAGTGACTGAGTCAGTAAATTAATGTCAGTGGATGATTATATATGAATGAATGGCAATATGAATATTTAGTTAAAACAATGAGTATGGTTGGATAGAGAGAGGGAGGGAGGGGG